TGCACTTGTTTGGTGACGGCTACACCATGCGAGGAGAGTTCCTATGACGTCGTAGAGGAACACCCGCCTTCAATAACTGAATGATTATCTTGAAGCACCATGGCGAAGTATGCTGCCCATAGAGATCGGCGCCTGCCCAAGCAAATCAAACGCACAAACTGAACAAACCAGGGGTCCGTGGGGCAGCTGAACGACGGGAGGACCCTCGCTGGGTTGGCACGCGTAATGACGGATGAATCGGTACACCCCGCGCCAGTTATAACCAAGTCATAGGCATGTGTAAGTTCTGAATACCCCTGCATGTGTGCACGGTGGATCATTGTGAAGTATCCCACACAGAGAACCGAAAGGAGCACCTCCACCCTTAGCAGCTGCGTATTTATACTGCCCATAATTTTCAGTACAGAAGCAGCAAATATTTCGCGATGCCAAACTCTTATTATTGTTCTAGAAAATCCATACCCATAATTTTAATGGCATGCATAGGCCTACGTGGCATGTATGAATCTGGGAATGTTTTGTTTTAATTTAATGAAATTTCAACTTTAAGAGTATGATTCAAACAGTGCGAGACATAATAGAAAGCCACTGGATGACAACAACGTTTTTGAAGGAGACTTTTAATAAGCGGCATACGCCTGGAAACCAGCGTAGTTGGCTTGATATTAGTTTTTATTAGAACAATAATGTGTGTTTTATTAATTAGGCAGTAGAAAACAGATAGAATCACTTCTTGCTCTTTCCGGTAGATCTACCAAGTAATTATGACTACTAGTCTGACAAAAAACGGTGATTTGCGAAGTTTCAGCCAAGGTATCTGAGCATACAATAAGATTGGAAAAAGTAAGAACTTAGTATTTTATGTTTGATTACATGTTATAATAGTCACTTAAAAAGCAGTTGCTTGAATATGCGCTGTTTTGTGTAATCAAGTGATTCATTGTAAAAAACTGGCTTTTCATGACACGTACATAAATATGCATATTTTGCGTTTGCGTTTAATGAGACGCGCTTTACAGCCGCCAGAGGCGCTGTTAAGGTCACATGGAGGTAGATAAATGTCGTTGTATAGGTTCAGCTGCTTCAAGAAAAATTTGATGAGCATTGTCAAAGAGATGAGAAAAACATAATGGCAAATTGTTAACACAATGAGAAAAAATAATAATGCATGCATAGTACACCTGAACGCACTTGTAATTATTTATAATTAGTGCTATACATGGGACAAATCAAGAGCTCTTAGTGAAAAATCCTTGCTTTCTACTTTAGATGCTAACACTAAAATTTAGGCACACTTAATGAATCAATGCGAAGCTTGTGAAATACATCGAGAGCTTTAAAAAATGAAGGTAAACATAGTTACCTAAAATGCCCTTAAGAATGACGGTTATCTTGTGTACGAATAGCCTTAATTGAGTTTCGAACGGGATCAATTTGTGGAATACGTGCCAAGATAGTGGGAACAATTTATCTGAAGATGGTCATGTTGAATTTCCTCGAGGAATTCGGCATACCAATGACTGTCGTAGGAAGGCAATATGAGTGACGCCTTGTATTTTGACCGTAGCATCGTAGCAGAGCAACTTCTGTAATCTTGTTTTCCCGCCATGTCTGGTGGGAACTCTTCTTGCTATTGGAACAACACTAACACAAGTAGCACATTTGCGGAACTTTGTGTTTTAAGTACTTGTGTTCCGAGAATGGTGAAATAAAGAGTCAACGGGAAGTAACCGCTTTGTCGTGGCGCGCACTAGCGAAGAGCTTTCCGTTCCCCCGGAGAAATCTGTCGCCGTGAAGACTACGAGTGATGAAACTGCAGAGTGAGTGCAACTACTGTCACGAAGTTGAAGTCGCACAATCTCGCTGTCGCTAGATGGAATGGCAGGTTGTGCAGGATTGCGACGCGCTGGTTGGTGACGTGTGTACGGCGCTCTTGTCGCGCAGCACACGATGTGCCAACGACTGGCTGTCGGCTGCGTCTGCTTTGCGCTACAGTAAAAAGCTATGCGTTTGCGTTTTCTTGTGGGATCCATCGTGAACTTATTTACAGCGCAACAACGGAATACACAGGACAGGGAAGGCGCAAAAGAGAAGGAAAAGACAACGCTCTTCTTTCTCTTTTGCTCATTTCCCGTCCTATGTTTTTTGTTGCGCTGTAAAGTAAGTTCACGATAGATCCTTACCAAGTGGCCCAAATTACCGTCTTACTTCTTGTGGGATACTAGACAGTGCTTGAAAAACTTAGTTCGCCTGCATGTAAATGAAAGAAGAAACATAAAGAAGGGCAGCATACAACCTGCTGCATATTTGCATTATAGAACTACGTGAGTCACGAGTTCATGAAACTCGTGCGCACGTGAGACGATCGCTTGTCCTCATTTTCTCGTCGCAGTGAAGCAAATCGCATGCACGTCTGGTAAACCTCCCCGATTTTCCCGTCCTCTGTGCAGCCAGTGCGATGACTCATTATTATTCCTCTTGTATACTGCTGACAACAATGACATGCGTTCAACTGCCGGCAATGGCAGCCGTGTTTTTGCGAATGCGGGCACAGAATCCCACAAGCGATGTGGCGTTTTATTAAGGCGAAAACCTTACATGCCTCATCAAGCGCGAAAACAGATCGGCGCACCGCGTCGGTGGCGTCAACACGAGTGTTGCGAATAAAAGCACCGTCACGTGATGATGTCACAATAGAATGACGTGACGTCCAATAATGACGTCATTGCATGTAAACGTAGATGGCCTACGACTGACCGATCACGGTAACAGTGTAAAACCAAGGAAGTGTATCCGATCTTTTTTTTTTTTTGACGGCACTGTAAAATCGCGCTCGGAGCAGAAAGCTTTCCGGGAAGAGATTGGGGAGGCAGGAACTATAATACATCGACTAGGAGTATAAAGAATATGGATTTTGCGGTCCAATCGTCTTAGTTGAGTAGATAACATAAATAACGCTTTAAAATTTGCAGTAGTGAACATGAACACTCTAAGTGGGGTTTCGCGCTCGCCACTGCCATCTTATAACCCCCCCCCCCCCAAAAAAAAAAGGTCATTAAAATTTTTCCAAAATGTCCGAGCGGATGTTCGAAGCTACGGTGCACCGCATTAGACCACTCGGCCCCAAATGATATATCCTCCAGCATCACTAACCAAGAGCAATTTATATGCACCACTTACTGTTGATGGTGCGTAGATAACTGAGGTGCGTTACCGTGGCAAACACTTGCTCACTATTCCCCGTGAGATGTGGCGCAAGGACCTAAGTAGCGCGCTTTAGGAAGCGCCGCCCTGCCCGTATTCCGCTGCGGTGCATGAGGGGCGTTTTTTTTCCATGTACATTTTGGTCACCTGTGTTCATGCGCGTATCATCAGAGGGTACGTTCAGGAGATGACTCAGTGGCTTCGTGCGCGTCGTGCTTGCATCTCAAAACTTGCGTTAAAGACGTACCCCGCAAGAAGGTCCCTCACTCGCTGCAACGGATCAGTTTCGCTAGAGTGGTGCGCGCTGGTAACTTTTATTGGCAGAACATTCCAACTAGTGCACATCACATTCATTGCTTTATCCTAGCGGAGAAACTGTGACGTTTATTTTGAGAAAGAAGCACTTCAAGATTCTCGAGGACCAAACGTCGGGCATCCACTAATGTTTTCAGTATCGTCCCTCGAGTACGAGTGATGAAAGGCCCGCGCTCCTACAGTGGGTTCCACAGCCATCTTTGCACGTAAGTTCTGGCGCTGTAATTTGGGCATTCTGCGTGATGTGTGACCGGCTATGGTTCGACTCTGCTTTGTCTACGCCAAGGAAATACCTTGCCTGAGCGAAGAAGGGCCGCGTTAAGCCCCTAGGATTAGCCCCCTTCGCAAGCTATACAAGACTCGTATGAAGCGTTTTCGTCCACTTCAACCCGAATTTTCTCTATTTCACAATAAATCTACCCAAAAATAAACACTACAGATGCCTTGCTCCATCCCCTACTCTTTATACCCGGGATGCATTATCCTCCGTTGATTTGTGCGCATTTACAGGGTCTCTAGAAAACTTATGGTGCTTTGAAAGTGGCCGTCATTAAACTGTCCACCACACTTCCTGGTTCTCAAAGAAAATGTTTTGAGCTCTTAACTATTTGATGACACAAATTTAAAGTCAAAGTGAAGATGTATTAGTTGTATTGGAGGTAATAAGAAGTTAAGAATATTTGTCACTTTGTCCGCTAAAATGGTAAAGTTGCAAGCTATATATTTTTCCTTTTTTTACTAGTTGCAGTTTTATGACATGGCGCTCTTTGGATAACCATGGCCATAGTGCCCCGAAACTCTTCTAATCATCATCAGTTTAACTCTATTTATAGTTCAGTCATTTTGTATGCTGGAACCTATTATGCTCTCTGGAGTGGTATGGAAATTCTTTGGTTAATTTATGAACAAAACTATGACACACTAAGGTGTCGATAAAAAGCATTGCAAGTTGCATAACCACACTTTCACGGAATTTAGGAAAAGGTTCTCATTTACGATAAAAGTGAGGAGTGGGCGACTGGCGCTGCAATTCTCTCTGAGGCAAGGACCCACAACAAGGACACTTAGGGGAAGAGGTAATAGGCAATGTAGAGAAGTTAGAGTAGAGTAGCGGACAGGGAGGGCATAAACACAGCTCAGAGCGTTTCCACAATGAAGTACAGTGAGCTCTTCGAAAGAGGAGATAAAGTGTTCTTTGCTGCAAGGGAATCTAGCCTCGGAATAAGTGAAAGCAACGGTCATGTTGCACGCCGTTGTGTATGACACCACGGTTGACGACGCGGTGCTTTATCGATGGACACGACCTTGTATGCTGCTCCGTACACTCTTTGCTCTTTCTTCCACGCATACCCCGGTACCTTCCTGTATTATAGGAAAACCAACCTCAGGTTCTTTTTCTTATTAAACACCCATTATTCCCTTTACGTTCACATCTTTCACTCTCACTTCAAATAAAAAAGCTGTTAATCGCCATCACTTACCATGCACTCTGAGTGGCGCCGTGTAGTTTACCGTGGCCGCAGTGTTTGAAGCAACGCATGTGTAGCTGCCATCGTGGCTCGGACTGAGGCTGTCGATGGCCAGCGCCACCGAGAAAGGGTCGAGCACGCGGACTTCGATGTCTGGACTGGACTTCACGGGCTGTCCGTCTCGCAGCCACGTGATGCGGACTGGTGGGTCACCGCGAGCGATGTTGCAGTAGACTCGAGTTCGCATGCCCTCGTGTAGGTTCTCGTCGAAGGCGAACCGTTCGATCAGCGGAGGAACTGAGTTCCAAAGAAAGAATAACAAACGAAAGGAGGCAGGGTCATCGATTAGTCAAGGTTGGAATCGCTGATGTCGGATAAAGCCGGGAAAGAGGTCCAGTCTGCAAGAACTGACATGGCATCACAGTGTAATTAACGTGGGGCAAGAGCTCTGGTGTGCAAAAAGTGCAGGCAAGAAGAGAAACGACGTCACAGTGAAATAAAGCAGGGCAAAAGCTCTGGTCTGCAAGAAGTCTAGGTTAGAACAGACACGGCATCATAGTACAAATAAAGCAGGGCAAGAGCTCCGGTCTGCAGCAAATGCAGGCATAAACAGACATGGCATCACAGTATAATTAAAGCAGGTCTAGAGCTCCAGTCTGCTAGAGGTGCAGACAAAAACAGACATGACATCACAGTATATTTAGACATTTAATAATGTTAAAAGCGCCAAACGTATCAAATGCACTACAGGTAGGACTTATATCACAAGCATCACAAGCGCATAAAGTGATGCCCACAACTAAAGAAAAAAGAAAAGTGCTGAGTCTGTCGTGATGGTTCAGTTCGGTGCACATGAAATTATTTCCAGAACCATATTAGCTTAGTTTAACGATTATCAAACAGTGTTATTGACAAGACAGCCCTGCCGTGTATAATCATAAATAGGAGTGTGGTTTCGGCTTGCAATAGTTTTAATTCGTTTTCTGGCTCACTGCCATCTTTTTCGCTTTGATCACTTTTCACTCTTATGTGAGCAGCTCTCAATTATTTCGGCAGCTAGCCTATTATATATTTTAATAACTTTCAATGTCTATTAATGAGGAAGACGAAGAAGTGTGTTTTGAATAGGAGCTACTTCTGCTAACTCCGGCGTATTTCAGTTGTAATTTGAGTCTGTTGATCAGTTTTCGCTGCCCCCTTGCAGGGGATGGATGTAGACCACCCCGGGCGCCTGCCGGCACCAGCGGCGTCAGCGGCAGCCGCCTCCAGGAAGCGGATGGGACAAGCGAGTGACAGCGACAGTGAAGATACTCATGGCTACTATCTCAACAGTGAGGAATTTTCAGATGACGGTTTCCAGCCTGTGTTGAGCCGCAAAGCGAAGAGGAGGAACATGAGGGCATCCTCATCCTCAACTATTCAAACTGTAAGTGAAGCGCCAAAATCGAACACTTATACCATCCTGTTTCTGCCTACACTTCCTACCGTCAGCATGAAACGCCTTAACAGATAGTCTGTGTCGAGGTCTCTGGAAACGCTCGTGCCAAATGAAATCACGGACATAAGAGTGAACGCCAGAAAGAATATACTGGCTGTGGACGTTTTGCACGCAAGCGAGTTGGGCGTTCTGCGCAGTGTAACTGACTTGGACGGCAACCAGGTGCGCTCTCATGTTCCCGTGGGATGTGATGTAGTAACCGGCGTGATCTACGACATAGATGTGGCTATTTCCAATAATGACTTACAATTTCTTGTCAAGACAACAACCGATGCTCCAATTGTTGATGTCACCCGGCTAGGCAAGTCTCGCTGTGTGAAGATTGCGTTTAAGAGCACATCACTTCCCTCTCATGTGAAGGTGGGATACTTCAGACATGCTGTGCGGCCTTTCATTCCAAAGCCTCTCCAGTGCCGTAAATGCATGAAACTTGGACATGTGAGTAGCGTCTGCGAGAATTCGGTGGTATGCCACCGCTGCGCCGAGCCCCATGAAGCGGATAAGTGCGTCGCAACTGTCAAGAAATGCTGTAATTGCAATGGATCTCATGAAGCCACATCGAAGGACTGCCCGCGGATTCAGAAGAAAATTGCCATCTTGAAGGAGATGGTGCGCGACCACTCATCTCATCGAGAAGCCGCAGCTAAAGTCAGAAGGCGTCGTTCACGTCGACGTCGGTCTTCAAGGAAGCCCGCTACCTTCTCGACACGTTTGCCAGATCCCTCATCAGTGCCACCTCCTTTGCCTCCCAGACCACATGCCGTGGGAAAGGCTGTAAAGGACAAAGCCAGTGAGCATACCCTAACTGCGACAGAGTGGCCTGCACTTCAAAGGAAAGCAGCATCAAGCAAACCGAAGGAGTTTCATGACGGCCAGTCCGCGATCCCGGTTTGAGATCTTTCCAACCAAGACAGGCAAGTGAGTGCAATCGTACAATCATTAATTGCCACGATTCGCACGCTACTGAGCAGCATACAATCTCCGTCTGCTAAGAGTGCACTGCAAATACTGGATGCACTGAATCCAGTTCTTGCTAACTTCGTATAAGCACAATGGCTCAACAAAATCTCCACTTCCGCACTGAAGTTAAAAGTGCGTCGATTTTTCAGTGGAATGCCAGAAGCATGAAGTCCCGTATCTCGGACTTTCGCCGATTTGTTCGGGCCAATCAATTCCCTATACTTGTCATGTGTGAACAAAACGCATCAACGCCTTATAGATTGTCCGGTTATGAAGCTTTTTGTTCAGCCGCTTGCGAAGAACGAAGCAAAGTAATTGTTTACATTCGCACAGACTTGACTTATCTTTCGCAACCAATAAGTTCAACTGACGACAATCAGTACGTGTGTCTTCGTGTAAAGAAGAATGCATTTTAGTTCACGCTTATTGGTTGATATATAACTCCGTCATCGCGATTTGACTGCGACAGATTAAAAGACATTCTAATGAGGACCGATGGGCCTTGGATCATCACCGGGGACTTCAACGCCCATCACATGCTTTGGGGGAGCACTAGGATGAATGCCAGGGGCCGGAACATTGTTACATTCGCTTCCGATTACGACCTTTCCATCATGAACGATGGTACCCCCACATATCTGCGGGGTCTCACGTATGGCAGTTGCCTTGACCTGACATTGGTGTCACGGCGCCTCTCTCACAAAGTTAAACGGTTTTGCGATATTGAGACTCATGGGAGTGATCACATACCCACCTACGTGACGATCGATGGTATCATAAAACATTTCTCTTCCGGTGTTGCAATTGGCACTGACTGGTCGATGTTTACATCACGTGTTGAGGACGCTTGCCAAGAAGGCCTCGCCTGCAGCCTGGAAAATACCATAGCGGAAGCTATGCAAGCGTCCAAATGTAAATTACCATTTTCGTCTAAAATAACACAGTTTGACATCTAACTGGAAAGATTACGAGCTATACGAAGGCGTGCTGAACGACGATACAGACGCACAAGATCAATTTACGATCTGAGGGAAGCAAGGCGGCTCCAGAAAAAGATTCAACGACGCATTTACAAGCTGGAGAGCGAACGCTGGAAAGAATTCTGCGAATCTCTAGACCCTCATAAACCGCTGTCATATATCTGGAGAACAGTTCGTGGTCTTCGCTCCTCTCGGCAACAACGGCACCCTTTTAAAGCTTTGGCACTCCATCATGAAAAAACAGAACTCGAGGTGGCTGAAGAATTTCGCACGAGAGTTGCCGGAAATATTATGAACGAGAGCATCGACGCCGTGATCATTCCTGAGACGCGATTATCAGAAATGGACATTCCATTCACCATGGAAGAACTGGAAGGTGTGTTAGTCGTTTCTAAGCGCATGTCATCGCCAGGTCCTGATGGTATTACTTATAGTGCGTTGGGACACCTTGGACAAAAAGCCAGAAAAGAACTTTTAACATGCTTCAACAACTCCTGGCTCAGCGGCAGTGTTCCCCGAGAATGGAAAATAAGTCGATTAATACCACTTTTGAAATCGAGAAAATCACCATTGGACTTGACAGCATATCTATCGCCCTATTGCCCTCGCAAGCTGCCTCGGAAAAGTGATGGAAAGGATGGTTCTATTTCGTCTCGAGTAGTACTTGGAACGATACAACAAATACCCTTCTTGCATGGCAGGCTTTCGTCAGGGCCGCTCCTCCATCGACTGTGCCCTTGACTTATCGACATTTGTGCAACAAGAAAAAAGTCGCAAGCGCATATCAGTGGCACTCTTTCTTGACGTGAAGGGTGCGTATGATAATGTAGCTCACGATGCCATCCTCACTTCTCTCGCTGAAATGGGCATTGGTGGACGAATGTTTCAATGGATAAAAGATTATATAACTGGCAGGGGTTTCTTTGGGCAAACATACGATGGTACAACTGCTGAACATTACACCTACTGCGGAGTACCTCAGGGAGGTGTTTTAAGCCACACATTGTTCAATGTGGCCCTCATTGGTCTTGTGAAGGTTCTGCCAAAGTCGGTGTGCCTATCCATATACGCCGATGATATTTGCCTCAGGAGTGCTGCAGTTACTCGCCCTCAGGTGCGTGCACGAATACAGCGGGCAGCAACCCTCACAACAGCCTACCTTCAGAAACAAGGCTTAACTATATCAACTGTGAAGTGCGCGTTGATGGCGTTTACACGCAAACCAATGACGCCATACCCTGTTTACATCAATGGGCAGAGTGTCAAATATGCACGGACGCATCGTTTCCTGGGCATAATAATCGACAGAAGTCTTTCGTGGAGCCCACATTGTGCGTACTTGAAGAAGAGACTGCTATATATTGTGCATATCATGAAATTCTTGTGCGGTAAAGCATGGGGAACTTCTGTGGCCTCCATGCTACAGCTGTACAGGGCCCTATTTCTGGGTCTATTGCGCGACAGCTTGCCGGTACTGACTAACACTTGCAAATCGAATACTCATTCATTGGAGAGTTTGCAGGGTCAGGCACTGCGTATCTGCCTAGGACTGCCCCGATGCGCTTCTACTTATGCCACAATCATGCTTGCCAAAGACCATCCGGTCAGGACATATATAGCTGTGGATTGCCTCAGAGCGCACATTCGACATGCTAGCCGTGTCCCCGACCACCACTTGGCCCTTCTACCTTCCGGAAGACCACGTGCTACGTTTTCAGACGTCATAGCCAAGCACCTAAACAGCATTCCATCAGGATATACGCCAGCTGCGAGAACGGCATGCCCTTTGTGGTGCCTCGACCAGCCGCAAGTACGTCTAGAAATTCCGGGAATCAAAAAGAAAAGCAGTCACTCCAGAG